AGGGTCAAAAGACGCCCAGATGTAAGCAGCTTGTTTGCTGATGCTTTGCTAAAGTCAGTAGTGTCTAGTTTGGATGTTTTTCTAAAGTAAGTCGTGTCTAAAATCCGTAGTATAGTTACTTAGTAGATTTAGAACCCTATTCAAGGACGGGAAGAATCGGGAGGGGATGAAGCAAAAGGATAATAACGGTTTGCCAAGGTTGCTAGACTAGAAGGAATGAGAACTAATTGACGCAGGAAGATTTGTGGCTCCTTACGAAGGACAGTTTTTGATAAGAACGAGAGTTAAGGTAGAGCAGGCGCAGTGGGGAGGGACTTATGGAAATGACCTCCTGAAGCTAATTTTAATACAAAGCGGAGACAGGTTATGCATATGTATAGGCATATCGGAAAACTTCATACATATGTAATACTTTGTTAGATATAAATGGGCAAGTTGCCGCTTGATGGTATGCACGTTAGGTGGAGCGATCCCCCGTGCATCCGGCGCCGTAAATAAAGAATGCCTGCCTTCTAACACTACATTGGTGTTGAGGTTCGTTCTTCCCGATTTCGGTGACAGTGGGAGACCGGTGAAGACGCTGGGGGAAAGATAACCGACCTCGTGGGAGACCACCGAAGACCCCAGAAGCACAGACCCATGGGACACTATGGATCCATGGTGGTGACTGTCTGCTCTCTCTTATCCGGACCTCTCACTTGATTTCCTATCTTTCCTTCCTTCCTTCCCTGTCACTGTTTTCTCTCTTTCCCACAGTTAATAAATGGGTGGATTTACGACATCTGACCTCGTTTGTGTCTTAATCTTGCTCGAAGGGATTGAACTTGAAACGAGAGGTTGGTCCAGCTGCCCCTGGCCTCCCAGACTCATCTGAGGTTGGCTAGAAAGCAAGGGGGCCTTCCTCTCGTCCAAACAGAATTGGATCCTAACACCTGGCTACATGCTGTTTTATTTTAGTTCCTTTCAGAATGCTACCCTCAGCAGGCAGAACATGCAGCCCACCAGACCTGCATGTGGTCTTAAGGGTGCAGTTCCTCTCCCAGCCCAGGTGTGTCCCATAGCCTGTGGCTTTAGAGGTCAGCTCCGGCATTTCATGAGAATCTATAGCTAGAGGCAGCGTAGCCTGGACACTTGGGTTACTACTGCATGTGCTTTGGTTCTGGGACCTTGGGACACCACTACTTTCAACATGTGCAAGGTGGGGAAGCACTCGTCTCTTGGTCCTCCATGGGATAGTCCTGCTGCATTTTTCTGCTTTCCCTCATCTCCAGCAGGAGCTCCTTGGGCAGGTCATGCTATCCTCCTGTAACCTTCCTCTCTAGGCTAGCTCCTTCAGGTTATAGCTTTCCTTCCCTGTTCTTAGTTCAGGCTTTCCTGGGAACAAGA